TTCTGGATTGAAAATTGAATACGCCAGCCGGATGACGATTTCCGTTTGAAACACATTTTTGCTGTTGGTTATAATTGGCTTCAACCTAGTTTATTTAACTCGGTCGCTCATTACCCGTCGGTTGAAGTAGGGAAGAGAAAAATCCGGTCAAGTGTCAAGTCCCGAGCGATTAGTGTCGTCTTTTACGTACGGGGCATGTAGAGTATCTACAATTCTTTAGTGTTGGATTTTGTATGGATCTGACTGTGCGTTAGTTATATAGGTCAAAATGTTATTGTTGGCGTCACCATTAACGATAGTTTACTGTACGCTGCCCATCCCCGACTGAAAACTGTACAGTGCATAAATAACAGTTTTTCTTTAGTTTTTTGAAATAATGCATAAAAAATATTTGATGGCAATTTTTTTATGATATTGGTTGCCTTTAACTGACAATGTCAGCCAGACACTGCAACCGAAAACCATTAAAAATATTAGATACTGCGAAATACTTTCCTGTAGTACCTTTGTATATTAAACAAATTGAAACTTAAAATTGAAACTTATTAAATAAAGGTGTTAATAAGATGTACAAAACTGTTATAAAATTGAATAGAGGTTACTTTAGTGATTAAGGTCCCTATTGACTGTAATTGTTTTAAGTCAACATGGATCAGTGAAATTTTTTGTCCGGACGCTAGAGTGGCGTCAATTTTTTCAACGCACTTTTAAATTGAATCGTTACGCTCCTTCATCACCGTGAACTGATTGAGAAGCGTGTTACCGTTGCTTGTATATTTTTTTTCAATTACCGTACATTTCAACCGGTCGTATTTTGATGTCAAAAGGATAATTGATTTCAATGATTTTCTTGTTTTCGGTTAAAGCGTCGCTTCTTTTGTTGAATCGTTCATTGTAACTCGAACTTAGTGTTATGTATATTTAAATATAGGAACGTGTCGTGATGATTTTAGCACTGGGAGTATAGCATAAAAATATTACTATCGTAATAAGAATGACAGATGTGTTTTTGGAATTATTGAGTTTTCTTACAAGATAAAAAATTCATTTAATCTTTTTTTAATTAGATAGTTATATAAAAACATTAAATCAGTGACATTATTACTGAAATGAATTTCAATGGAATGTTCGAATTCGTAACAACGAACATTGATAATATGGATAAGATCTTCTGTACCTAACTGTGGTAACAAAAGTTCCCGAGTGGAAGAACGCTTCATAATAACGTGATGCGCTTACTTATAAACTTTTAAAATTTATATATTTCTTTAAAAAAAAATATCGAACTATGAATATGTAATATTCACATTCATTATGTTATGAAAAATACACACCGTTCAGGTTGCTTTAACATTAGCTTCGTGAACGCTTGTTTGGCGTGGACTCAGAATTACTTATGTATACTTATAGTACCTGGTGGACTGAGCTTTGCTCGGTATGTTTTTTTTTTTTTTGGAAATTACATTTAGATACAAATTATGCATAATATTTTTCGATCTTACCGACCTAATAATAAGAAAATATGTGGTGGTGTTTTTCACAAAAGAAAGAACTTTAAAAAAAAGGACAAAAAATAAAAGATAAAGAAAGCAATGATCTGGAAACGAAAAAAAAGTAAAAAAATATGTGTGTAAATGATCGTGATACGAACCACGGCCTTCTGTTTCGTGGCTGTTTGTTAACGGCCGCCCGATTACCGACCGGGCTATTATAACATTTTTTTTTTTGTGAAATTTACCGTCGTATTCGAATGATATTTTTCATTCCCTGAAAACTGGGATAAAAGGACATTTTCTAAAAATGAAACCTAGTCAGATCGATTTTTCGCCCCCAAATCTACGCATATACTTTTCATGAAAATCACTGGAGCCGTTTCCGAGATTCCAATTATATATATACAAGAATTGCTCGTTTAAAGGATAAGATTAGTTTAACAACTTAGTGATTAAAGTTAAATAAATAAGGTGTTTTATATTTCATTATAATTTTATTTTCATTATAATAAGGTGTTTTATATTCGACGTATAAAACACCTTATTAATAATAAGGTGTTTTTGTCGGCGTTTTAATTTTTTTGTTAAAAAGTTTTTTAGTACACTATCGTACACCACAAATTCTTGTATAATCCATAGAGTACATAACATGTGTTTGTATATTCAATTGCAAATTTCCATCTACAAATTATCGCACCGTTGCCACAGGAGTGAGCTTTTAGGATTTAATGGAATAGTGAAATAACAGGATTGAACGCTACGCAGTCAGTGCAGGTTTATAGGAAGGCTTTTAGAAACCATTCGCCGGACCTACATGGCCTGTCAGAAACTGAATACACATATGTTATAAATATATTAATAAATACTAATTGCATGTCCGAATTTCGTTTACGAATTTATATCCTATCGGACCCGACAGACGTTGTTCTGTAAACCCGACTGAAATACGAAAACAACTTATAAATAAAAAAAAATGTTGTGGACCGAATTGTGAATCTAAATCATTCTCAAATCGACCTGAAGACGCACAACAAATTTCATGAAAATCGGTCCAGGCGTTTAGGAGGATTTCAGTGGCATACACATGTACAGAAGAATTATATACATAAAGACATTACATATACAATATATATTTACTTATGCTACTTATAATATATGCTATATTGTGTGTTTTTACTTCGTCGAAAAATAAAATAAAACGAGAAATTGGTTGAAAACAACAAATTTGCAACATCATAAATGAAAACGATCCAGAGATTCGGTACGTCGCGTCGCCTCGTTGTCGGAGATCTTGAGGTACGGAATTTTAATTTCAAGCTTGAAAGTTCATCTTTTTAATAGTATGCAAGTGCCATGCATGCATTCAGCTCCAAAATGATAGTGACATCTCTGCCTACCTTGTTGTTGCAATTACAGCAATTTTAATGCAACCATACAATTTTATTAATAATATTGATTTGTATTGTAAAGTGCGTATCAAAGTGACTAAAAATATTTGGATCTCATCCAGCTACATACCATTACTACAATTTAAGTACATCGCAATTCAACTTCGAGTGTTGTTTGTGCCATAAATATAAATGTAAGTCACATTGTAACAATGTTTTATGAGCTGTCTCTAAAGAAGGTGTAATCGAATTTTGGCATGATATTCGTCCATACGAATATTTCGGTATTAGACATCGTTTCTATTTTTATGTTATAAACATATTGTCTCTGTTACACTTTTCCACTGTAAGATGGGCACGATGATTTCAAGATCTTAGTATCTTAATAAGTCAAGCGAGTCATTAATTTCTTTTAAGGACAATTAAGGATTATTACTGAAATCTTGTTTAAATAATATGTTTCAAAACATGTAGAATATACAAAGATTCCTCGGAGTCCGACTCGAAAAATACCTTTCTATTTACTATTTTTCTTAAATAAAGGAGACGACAATAGATACAATTTCCGCAACAATACCGCATTCATTTTTGTATCTCACGGAAAACCTATTCCAGAATATGTCATGCTGCAGGCAGAAAAAAGTTAAGTTAAATTGTTTCCCGCTTTGACCTTAAATTAAACTTTCTGCGGATAATCTGTCCACTTCGTTACAATGGTCTGCGGGCGATTTTGCAAATTGAATGCAACGTTGAATAGGGCTTAGCTGTTGTACCGAGACTTTTAATAATTGTCTGCGTCAATATAATATTATTCTATTTGGTTTTAACAGAATTTAAGGTGAATAAAATATTTAAATTGAGGAGTTAACTCGTTTATAGACTTTTAACTGTTATCTAGATATTAATGTAAATTATAATTACTTTTTATTTAAAATATGATAAATATTAGTCCATTTTTAAATACAGAAATAGAGTAATGAAGTCAACTCTGAAAATGTAACTAAGGGAAATTTCAATTTCCTGACTTTAACTTACCGGCCAATTGGCATTAGGTTTACCTTAAAATTTTTGTAGTTCTTTAAATTTGAGAAAAATTAAACTACAAATTGTAATTTGATTTCTTGTCAATTATAATTCAGTTATTTTGGTAGACGTGAATCAGGAACCAATAATATTTTACTGAATGGCGTTAATTTGATTTACGCACTCTCCGTTTACTGTGTAATTAATATTTCATCGGAATATGAAATGCACATTATTAGGGATTCATGTTTTAGCAGAATTATATGACCACGCTTAACACATGCGTACAAAATATTTATTCATTTACATTTTAGAGCATCCATGTTTTGATAACGTGCAATTTTAAATCTCGGTTGCATGATGAAGTTTGGATAGGATTTGAATTCTAGTTTTTCCCGAAACATTTTTCTTTTTTAATTGAACGGATTTCTTCAATGGACCGAACAGTCAAGCTAGTCGAGACGAGACAGTACATGGATATTTTATTTCAAGACATTCTTTTAAATTTTGATTGGTCTAAAATTAAAATAAACTCTATGTTTTGTTTAAATACAGTTGGCAGACGAATAATTATGCCTTATTAACTATTGCTGATCGTTTAATTATTGCTTATTCTAACTGAAAGTTAAAATGAGCAATAGTCTCAATATTGTGAACTATTGCGCGGCATTTAATTATGTGTTACTATATTTCCCTAAAGGCAAAATATTAATTATCGTTGCCTCAAAAACGAACAAAATATCCCCTCGTAAATTTTGCTACGAATTCCTTGAACGTTTTTGAGACCTTGTCTGCAGCTTCCAGCGCGCGTAATGAAAATTGATCTAGTGATGAAGGCTTGGATATTTAATTAAAATATTGTTTTGTTTTTTACATTGCGTTCCATATTTTACATTTGATATATAGATAGATATTGCCTTGTTTATTATTACACAATGTGTAAAAATCTGGAAAATATTAATGCATAAACATGAATACATCAAAAATTTATAAAACAACAAGATATTATATTTTGTGCAAAATGACGATAAATTATCGTAGCAAAAACGCAAAGTTGCCCAATTTTATATATTATGTAAAAAGTTTTAAATCTTACTTCATCGGACAGATCATTCTCTTCGAAAGCGGAGGAGAGCGGCCTGCCACGCTGTGCACGTGCGCCCCTCGAATCGAAGAGCTCGTCCACCGGTGCCTGCATTTCATCTAGGGCACTCTTGATACGGGAGTCCACGTCAGCCCGGATACTGTCCCGGTCCGGTTCCTTGGCCACGGGGACTTTGCCGTCTAGCCGGTCCAACACCGGCCGGTAATAGCTCTCGCCCTTGTTGTAGTTACAGTCGTAGACGCGCGTGCGTCGGCCTCTGCCAACTCGGCTCATTTTGTTTGAATCCTGCGAACGGAGCGCTTACGAGTTGTTTTCAACTAAAGTGGGTACTATACTATATGTAGTGGAAATTCTGGGTAAGGGAAATCAACCACGGAGACTAAGGCGTTGGCTAGGATGTACTTGATGTCTCTAATGTCAGAGTAACAAACCAGTCACATAGTGGCGTGAACATTAGTAGTGAATTATAACTATGCATGAGATCTTAAATCATTGGTAAAGTATCATGAAGCAAACAATGATTTGGTAATATTGTCACTTGTATAATTTATTAAAATTACTAAATAATAAACACTAACACTCATAAATAAATAATTTTTAGGAAAACCGAACGGTCAATTATTATTATTAATAATAGAGAAAATAGAGAGTCGAACTGGAAAATTGCATTTGGATAATCATTCATCTTCCCATTAACCTTCCTTAAAATAAGCTTCTGCCGTGCAAATTGGCATATGTTAACTGCACAGTCATAAATAACGACGGGAATGCAACAAAAGCACATTAATTATGACTATAAAGTGATTGAACGTATGGAAATAATAACCGTTCTGCCCGGTACAGAATAGCTGCAAGCCGTTCGTATCCGGCAATATACAATCTTTTATAGCGAAATCATGTTAGTAGCTCCATCATCGGATTACACATCGCAAACGGACAAACTCGAAAGCAAGTAGTAAGTATTTGTCTTAATTGAAGTTTTCATAAGGTTTTTGATTTAACCACTACAGAAATACTTATGGTAGTGAACATTACATGTTGTTGAATCTTGTGGATTTTAAATAATTGCAGGGTTAACGTTGTATTTTTATAGATAAAAGGCATAATAATTGGACATACGATCGTCAGTTCTTAAGCACAAGAATAGATTACAGAGAAAATTAACACACTTTAATTTTAAACCATGTCTATCATCTATTCAGCCGATATTTATAGCTAGAATGCGCGAGCATATCAAAATAAGCATTAGAATCAGAATGAAAAACTTTTATGCACAATACACATTGTTAAATGAGACTATTTCACGAATTTTTAATTTTGGTTTTATTTTAATTTCGAACAGGGTCTGCTGTGATCACGGATCGTGGCATCTGTGAAGTGTAGGAAACGTCGCGAATTAGTACCAGAATTAAATACAATCCGTAAATTAGTTTTATTTAACATGAGGTATCATAGGTATCATATCTATTATAATATATTTCTGTATTTGCTCTAAAATATTTGAAATTCATTTAACGAAACAAAAATATTGTCTATCAAAACTCGACTTTTAGTTTTTATTATAAGTAATTTCATATAATGCTTTTATTAATCTTAATTGAAGCTCGGCTACTCACCTGAAAATAGAATGTTTTATTTATTTCTTGGATATAGACATTGTGTATGAAAATGGCTTTGATTATTTAATTTCTCATTTCATTTGCTTGTAAATTTTTTGTACGGTAGGATATGAATTAATTCTAGTTCAGAAGTCTTGTTGAAATGTTCAACGTTACTTTCAGTGAACTCAAGAAATCGTTCAGAGAATCTTGATTATGTGGTTAGACTCCACAGAAAAATTAGTATAGCCACAAGTGCGTACAGTACGTGTTTTCTGTTGTTTTCAGGAAGCGTTTATCTATTTTAAAGGTCTTCCGTTTTACGTCAGAACTATACGAAATGCCATAAATCTAATACAACCATATAGAACAAAGTTACGCACATTTTAATTTCTAATACTATTAAACCCCACTCATATAACTGATTTTATTTATGATTGTGCATCGATTAAAGGTAATATGTCAAACATATTTTGATGTGATTATGACGTAATGATTTAAAAGATTTTTTGAATACTTTGAATTGTTTTAAAAATATTTTTAAAAATATAATCATTTAATATTTAATAATTATTAGATAAGGATAAATTTAGTTAAGAACAAGACATTTTAACAAACAAATATTTATAACAAGTCAATAATCGACATTTCAATGAAGTTCCGACGCAAGCGATGAACTTTGAGACCTATTCGAAATAGTCGCATAAAACATTCAATATAGGGTTATTTTTAGGACCAAAACCCGGTTTTTGTTTGCCCGACAAGACGTATTGTATGCACTCATGTTAAACGGCACAGCTAAAAATAGACCTGCGAACGTAATCCGAACGTGCGTTACGATCGAATTTAAAAAATCATGCGGCGTTCGGGCCAAAGTGAAATTTGGATTTCGACAAAGGGACAAATATACGTTCATCGATAAAGGTATGTCGCACTGCATCGAAAACGAAAACGACTAGTTATGGGAATTCGCATAGTGCGGGAGCAAATTAAGGAAGTTCGAAGTGAATTTTCACTGACCTGGCGCGTGTTCAGGCGGCGAGGAGGCAGATGGGACTGGGCAAGACGGACGCAGCGCTTGCGGCGTTTGCGCGGCGTAGGCGTTACTATGTTTAACCGTGAGCTACACAGAAATATATTGACTTTTGTTACGGATGATTTCCTAGTCGGAAAACCAAAGATTGCTCGTTGACAGCTTTTGAAACTAGCAAGCAAATTTTAAGACGCAGAGCAGGCAATTGTCTCCCACGGCGGCCTACTGTATAAGACATTATGAAACTTTAAAAAAAATTGAAAGGAACGCTATATTTTGCTCAGTTTTTTTTTATAAAACTTAATAGAGTTTGGCATGATTTTGAAATTTATGATCATCTTCAAGAAGAAAACAATCTCACCACATCATTTAACTCGAAGTTATTCTTGTTTCCTAAAGCGTCCGGATAAATTCTTACAAACAGAAGGATCAAAGTTTAATATGACATAATATGATTTTACAATAGATTGTCACTTGGCAGCCAATTTCTATGGAAGGATATCTGCCTTATTGTTTTCGATATAATACGCTTTGACACTCCGTACCCATTGTTGCAGACAAGACGATTAATTTTTATTTATACATTGATTGGGTACATAAAAGCTTATACGTACAATTTAATATTAACTTTTGAATGATCAAAACTTTAAGTTATTTAAAAGTTAATCTAAACTAGTCGTGCTAAAAAAATAATTTCCTATACGCGCAATCCACGTTAATATATTACGTGGATTGCGCGTAAAGGAAATTATTTTTGTTTATTAATTACTCTCAATAAAGGATTTTTAATCCAAAAGTATAATGTTGCGAATTATAAGGTACGATTAAAGACTATGTCTATAAAATAGATGTTTGAAGAAGAAAACTATGTTTAAAAAAAGAAAAGTCAAGACGATTGACATGTCTAATATCATAAAGTAATGATAATGGAAACATACTCTTAATTCTGTAGAACTATTCACAGCTTACAGAAGCCGCACCACATTGTACAGTGGACTGGAGTCCGGAGTCAGTAAATTACCAAGTTTGGCTGAGTTGCTCTCAACGGGCATAATTATAGTCAACTAATTTAAATACTTATCGTTGTATCCTTTATAAATAGAATTCATAGGCTACGTGTTATTTTATTTTTAATGATAAGCATTGCATCCTTTGATTTAAAAGCGATAAACAAAGGCAACGATACACAGAACATACTGAAAATTTTGAAAACATTTAGAAATTATATATTTCAATAAAATGTCCGCAAACAGTTACGTTTCATGGAAACTTTTAAAATATGAAAAAGTTTTAGTAAACAACATATCGCAGTTGCACTACACTACACTTTTAATATCTGTTTAAAGTAAAATATTGACGGTGAAATTTAAATGCTTAGAATTAAATTGGTTACTTGGAACATTTATTGACAAAAAGTGAGGAGTTTTATTACTACCTTCAAGAAACAAGAAACATGTCAAAATTTATTTGAAACGTTTACATAGAAGGTTTCGCGCTAAAAAGTTGTCCAAATTTTGGCAAAAGTAATAGTCGGTAGGTTCAAGGTCTGGTGAGTATAGCGGATGAGGGAGAGCTTCCTAACCCAACTCTTGCAGCTTGGAGAATATCTGTTCAGCAGTATGGGGTCGCGCGTTGTCGTGAAGGAACAGCGGAGATAACCGATTAACCAAAGCTGTTTGCAGATGTGCGAGCTTCTCCATCACTGTCTTCAGTTCATATCTGCAGTAATGTTTATGCGGTTTTGTAAAAATCTGTGATGAATTACACCGGCACCGGCACAAACAGTGGCCATCGCTTTTCTAGGGATTATTTTTCGTTTAGGGCATTGCTTTGGCGTTGAGCCAGGATCTAACCAACTTGCTGAGCACTTTCGATTGCCGAACAGAATCCATATTTCGTCGCACGTAATATAATTCGGTTCCACTTCTTTCATTTCTGTGCCTATTGAGCAGACGCGTACGTTGTACTGGCGATCGTTAAGTTCGCCGCTCACCCATCTAAATTTCCAGAACTGAACCGAGCAAACCAATAATGGGTTGTGCGTTCGTTTGTAAAGTTTTCTCCGTAAACGTTGTTGATGTTACGTGCCTTTTGTGCCGCAATGGTGGCACGGCGGAATTCATATTCCATAATAAGACGAATTTTTAAAGTATCCATTATGACGAAAAATGTGAACAATTTATTTTTTACAAACAACATTTTAATGAAAATACAAAGCAAATCAATAAACAGATGTAGATGTATTGGTAAAAAGAATTTAATGTTTTTAAAACAAACTTTGAAATTTGAGAATAATAAAGATTTTTTAATAATAAAATAACAGCCTTCAAAAAACTCTATTAGCACTGAAAAGTGTACAATAGTACTAAATCGAATATAATCAAATCAAAGTAGTATGGTTATTAACAGGGTACCCTAGAATATATTTGTCCAGTTCAGTAGTAACTGATTTACCATACCTTATACGCCATACCTTTACTATTGTCATTATCAAGGCCAAAAGTGATATTTGCTCGTTTTGTCGAGGTCCCTGTCCCTCTTATGTGTGCCAGGGCCCAAATTGTCCATTATGTGGGCGTGTTACTTGTTGATCCTTTCTTTCTTTATAGAGAATCATCTCAATCTCAATCATCACTAATGAATTAATCAACAGGCCGCTTATAGTTTTCGGGAAGAAAATATTTAAAAGTCGTTATTTTCACTAAAAAGTTCGCAATTTTATTAATTTGACTTCAAAAACAGACAGACAGATATAGGGAGCGGGTGAAGTCATACTCATAACAATTACGATTATTACAGTCATGACAGTTTGAATGACGTATTTAAATTAATTTCAAAGTGGGTATTACTGTAGAATGAAAAAAGGTTCTTATTCCGGAACTTTCTATTAAAGACGATCAAAATTCCGACCCTGATTCCAGAGATTTCTATTAAAAAGAGAAATGAAATGAAAATCGTTTCTACAATATTTTGGCCCCAGAAAGGATCGTATTTCTGGCTATTAAAATGGCCCGGAACGCGCTTGACGTGCTGTTCTGAGGTGGAACTCGAAGGGGAAGGAACAGGATCGAAATGAAAAGTAAGTGGACAGTGTAGTGAACAGTTAAGCGACGAGTGGTGCGGTAAGGTGTGGGCCGTCGCACCTGTAGCAGCGTACGTGAAGATTGGTGAGAGAAAGAAAGGGTTTCGCAGCGGCAGTCACTGAAGGATTGGTGCATAATGAGAGTCGTGACAACGTTACTACTAATTAGGATTAGAGCGATATTGAGATGGCCTCTGTGCAAGTTTCTGTAATAAAGTGAAGATTCAAACGACCAGCATATTACTGCGATACCGCAAAAAACTGCATCAATTTCTGGATTATCGATATTGTTAATCAATTTCGATTTTCTTGGATCTATAGTGTTGTTATATCAACAAGGTTAATGATAAAAGAGCACGTGTTCATGAAGTGAGTTAAAAAGAATTATAATACTCTGGCATGTTGAAACTGCACAAAAAGTTGATATGCACAAAAAAATAGTATTTTTAGCCTGGTTTAATAACAGCCTATACATGTCCCACTGCGGGGGAAAGGCCTCCTCTATACCGAGGGTATCAGGGCATAGTCCACCACGCGGCCCCACTGCTAGTTGGCGGACTTCACGTATCTGCGAAATATATATATTTTTTTGTTATTATTTTGAAAATATGCAGGTTTCCTCACGATGTTTTCCGTCACCGCGGAGCACGTGATACATCAGCACTTAAAGTTAAGGCAAATGTAAATAACTTTAACTCAGGCGTTATTCAATTAAAATAAATTTTAAACGATAGAGAAAAATCTCTAATGAATTAATCAACAAGCAGAATTTGGCGGTCGCTTATAGTTTTCGAGGAAAAAATATTTAAAACTTGTTATTTTTACTAAGAAATCCACCATTTTATTTATTTGACTTTAAAAACTCAATACACAGTTCCGCCAATATGATAAATATAGGAAGCGGGCGACATCATACTCGTATCGATAGTCCGTTTTTTTAATGTAATGAGTCACAGAACCGACACAGAGCGAATCCGACTCGGATAGATTAGGTTAGAAGGTTCGCCTTAACCTTCGAGGTTAGGTTATTTTTTTTATGACCACCAAGAATTACGAGCAGAATTGACATATTGACAACAAAAAAATGGCGGATTTCTATAGTAAAAAACACACTATTTCATTATTTATTTTTTCGAATCGGGCGGCCAGAAAACAGAAGGCTGTGGTTTGTGTCACGATCATACACTCTTATTTTTTTTCTATACCAGATCATTTTCTTTATTTTGTATTTTTTATTTACAAAATACATGATTTACCAAAAAAAAAAAAAACGAGCAAGGCTCGGTCCTCCAGGTACCTTATATTGGTAAGTAAAACTGGTTATTCTCACTCAAAACTACGACTATGCCAAATGTATGATGCTGTAATAATGCGTATAAATGACAATTTTAGTTAAGATTGTTGAGTAAAAATTGATTTAAGTCGTTACATAAACTTCTCGTGACATTTTGCCATCTGTTTGCACGTCTCTTGACAAACCGAGTTCAGTTTAATGATATTCATACACGAAAGTCAGACTAGTTTGCTCTAGATGCTGTTTACTTAGTACTCAGTTTGTGTAATAATGCTATATAAACTATAATTTCACGTTGGCACAGGTTCCTTTTTAAACTATTAAATGCACAGCCGTCTTTTGATTATAATTATAAAAATGTAATTAATTGCCAATTGCAATAATAAAACTGCTCGATGCTACATGTAATTAACAATATTTTACAACAATTCCAATAAAAATCATAAATATTTTAGTACACATAGATGGAAATTACTTAAAAAATCTGATCTATCGACACATAGGCAGACGTGAGTGTTTAAGCTGATAATGTCATTTTATTTGTAATAAAATCTGGTACGAATGTCACATCGATTTTTATTGGTAATGCTTGTTATGTATTAGTGTAAGAGAGACTTTTTTTATAATAAATATTAGTACATATCTGCAAGTAAGTAAAGAGTTAATAACATAAAAGGATGCCTGCATGTTTGGTGTCAATATAGAGACCGTATAATATAATAGAACCTCAGGAATTAAGTAGGTAGTCTTAAAAATCACAGATTTAATAAACTCAATAATTAAAACACAAGTTTGCGCGATAATTCCTAAAATGTCTCTGTCGTCAAATAGAGACTTTTTAGGGATTATCGCGCTCACTGCCAAAGCTAGTACCGGGATACTTATCTCAGACTTTTTAAGCAACGTCCAATACCGCGGTCAATTAGAAGGTAAGAGCCTCCGCTAAGAGCCAATCCGGCCTGGTTTGGCTCTTAGCAGAGGCCCCCAATTACTAGCTTCTTCCATTTGACCCTATTCAATGTAGGACTACTTGGGTTATCGACGATCAAAGTCTTTCCGATTGGCTTGATCCTTTGCCTTTGCGTTGGGTCCCGTTGTATCCCTCTGCATCTTCTACCCCATTTATCACGGGGATTGTTCCAAGGAATTGCTTGGTTTGATCCCAGCGGCTGAATTTCATCATCGGACTAAGCGCCAAAACCACAAATTTTATCCACACCACCTCGATATCCAGCGTTCCACAATAGATCGCGATCTTTAAGGCATTTTCTGTCTCGCACAACCACTCTGCGGAACCAGCTGCCACCGGCAGGCTTTCCGAACCTTTACGACCTGGGAACCTTCAAGAAGAGATATCCTTTCCTGAAAGACCGCAATGCATTTGAAAGCCTCAGAGTTGTAGATGTCTATGGGTAGCGGTGATCACTTACCATCAGGTTAGCCTCATGCTTGTTTGGCACTTTTTTCTATTAAAAAAATACACAATTTCAGTACAATATTTTGAAGCCTTGATTTAATAAAGCCTGTCTTCGTTGACTATTCCCAGACATTAGCTTGTATTGAGGTACTCGTACCTAACTTGCAAACGTATGTTTTGTAGTTACGAGAGGAAATTAAAGGAGCTGCTTCGTAGGAACACCAATTGAGAATTATTAGGGCTGTTATAATATGATACCGAGGTATAGAAAAACGATAATAAATAGTGTCCAACTTATTGAATTCACAATTCAATTTAATTAATTCCTTTAATAATATATTTTAGTTATTATATTATGTTTTTTAAGGTTTTTAGTTTTAGGTTCATTGTTCTAGTATATAATTTTTTTATTTCTGTATAAATAAATACATATTGTTGGAAAATAAGTGATATGCTAACTGATGTTTACTTAGCTATGTTATGGAGCATTAAATTTCAGAATTATATTCAATTAAGAACGTAATTATTCTTAAAGCATCTCTACATAGTATGCTTATATCTGTAAAACTACGCAACGGATCTTGATGCGGTTTTTTTATTGAATAGAGTGATTAAAGTGGAAGGCTAATATGTATAATACATTGCACTCGTGTGAGGCCGGGGGGCCTCTAGTATGTAACTAATTGTCAAATCATTGAAAGAAAAAACATAACGGTACAAGATGAAATCTGTAAAAACTAGTTGTTCACGTAAATTGTATGTAGTTAAAAATAACCACCATAAAACAGGTTTTATCGGCGGGTAATAGCGAATTTCCCTGAAGGTAAAAATAAATCACGCGTCAGCATCACACGTTTAATTCGTTGCTGGCCGAGTCTTTAGGGAGTTGCTCAATCCTGTAGTCCCTACCACTTTCGGAAACTTATCAACGTTTCCGCCGGAAACATTCCCGCCGCGTTCTGTTCGCTGATTATGTTGAAGCATTTTTTCACGAAAACATAAAGTGTTTCTTCCAGTCTGCTAATAGAATCAATTTAGTTTTTTCTCTCCGTCTATTAATTGTCTATGTAGATTTTGGCTTTATGTTTCAAAAAGGTGTTGTTGATATTGATATGCGACCAAATTAATATTTATGATTATTATTATTTTGTATGAAAAATGTTATATGTTGAATAAATTTTAATTTATTGGTAATAGCAAAAATTTTTAACAGCAGATATTGGTCTAAATTGATGTCAATATAATACATGATTTGATAAATTTCATATACATGTTTTATAGCCGGCAAAATATAATTCCGAGTAAGCTCGCTAGTATTAATAATTAAATACATTTATCGCACGGAAGTCCCCTTTCTCTGTAAACCTAGCCTTCTAACCTAACCTCTGTAACCTACCTTTCGCCTACAATTGTATATAATGCGTGAAGACGAAATAGGTTCCCCAGCCCCTGGGAGCCAGAGCCCACTTCTAAACTTTGTTGGTAAAACAGTAAATTATGCTGTTGTCTGCAAATATCAAGGGACTCGAAAAATAAGAGAAGAAGGTAACTTGGCTTAGGAAACCTTGATGAACATTCGACCTAGAAAATAAACATATTGTTAATTTCTCTTTAATAGCAAACAATAAGAGGTCCTACTTTTCTTAAGATGTTATATTTAGGAATAATAAGACACATAGTTGTAATAGTTGTAATAAACATAGTTGTATCGTCTTTTCGTGCATCTGACATCATATAGATAAGAAAATCATTTTATAGTTATTGTGACAGTCAGAAACATTTGTTCTTTTAATTATTAACATCGCATAGCAATAATATGCAGTGGCTTGTGTAATGAATTTTGACGTTTTTTCCCAAAAAGGATATAATTATATATGTAGCTTTTTAGGTGAATGCTCTCTCTATTGCTGGCCTGTAAGATATAAAAATAATTGAAAAATAAATGTCTTTTTAAAGTGACTGAAGTTTACTCACATGCACTTTTTATTATATTTCATTAGGTACAAAACGTTTACCTGCAAAAAATAAACGTTAAGCTGTGCTGAGGGAAAATAAATGATTGCATGAATTCAGAATGGGCTGTTTGTTGAGAAGTGATGAGATGTCACTATGTGATGTGTATCTGCAGCCGGAAGCTGCTTTTGACATCGTGTCTCGGTTTGGTGAGATGGGCTGCTTGCAATTTTTGGATGTAAGTATTATCAAAATGAAATATTCTTTAGCTCTGGCTCAATTTCTTGGTGATATTTGAATATACAGTATTTTTAAACGTTTAAAAATGTAATGTTATTTTTTTTTAATTGATAAAAATGAATGCATTGAAAAAAGAGTAATTGTTTTATACTGGCACGCATGTTGTTCGTGTAAAAAATATATCATAATTATTTACAATCTTACACACAATGTTTTGGTTAGATTACGCCAAAAAAAATCATACAATGGAAATTTACCATTACATTGCTTACAATATCCATTATAGTGGATAATACTTGAAGTTTAAAACTTACGTTTTACTTAGAAGACATAATACACAAATGTATCACATACACGTTTCTACTTTAAAGTACTTCATAATTGACATTTATTTTTAAGACAAGTTTTTGATTGTAAATGTAATTAATTAAAAAAAATTGTCAACTAAGCTGAATTAGGTTTAAGGCTTATTTATCTGAAAATTAATTTTAGTTCATTTATCTTTAAAAATTTCATTATTTTTGGACACCGACATGATGAAGTTGGTTAGTCGCAAAGCGACAAACTTTAACTTACCATGGCAACACAACTATTTGACATTTACCTCAAATTCCAAGTTATACAATTAAACGGTTACATATCATCGTCATCATCATTTCAGCCTGTTTGAGTCCACTACTGAAAAGACCTCCCCAGACAGCCACGAAGCACGATCCGTACATCTTAAAATGTTGCTTTTACGAGTATTACTATTTTAGGCGATTTTCTATCATTTTTCGTAATATCGCAATTAAGAAATATTTTTATTAAAAGTAATATCGATTTACTGAATCTATTGTTATTTTTTTATTTTGACATGAGATTTGGTTTCTAGTTTCATGATTAAGTGGTAAATTAGATACAAGGTTAGAGGAATAGTGAGACAACGTCACCATGGAAGGGATATCAAGTGTTGGTGGCAAGTTTAGATAAGCTCGTGAGCGCCTTATTTGACAAATTTGCTGTACCGTCAACTTAATTCGTCGCGAAACCTCTGCTCGATCGAATAGTCAATCTGCCTATTTTCTGAATTTGATAAATTCAGTATCGTGTAATTTCTTTCAAAGTTTTAAAAAGTAGAATTACTTTGGTTTTTGTAAATTATTTTGTTTTATTTATAAATAAAAGTGTCATCGTTTGTGGTATTTGTTTTTTTTTTTTAAATTAATATTCACCTGGACTGGTCTCTAAGAATAATTTTTCTTTTCTACCCAAGATTTCTTTGTCATAGTTAATAAATTGATAACGGATTTTTTGTCTCACTTTTTTATATACTGGGAGGTCATAACGTTTGATTATTTTATTTATTTAAAAAAAAAAAATACAAAATGCTTGTTTAATAACTTTACTTTGGTTTCCTTTGCTCAACTTTTCTTTGCAGATTAATCCAGACGCCAAGCTTTATGAGAGAAACTATGTTTCGGAAGTTTGTCGCTGTGCCGAGATGGAGCGTCAACTTCGTTACATTGAATCAGAAATGAAAAAGGACGATATAACAATCCCTGATCTTAATCAAGAACCTGCCGCGTTACAACCTCATGAAATGTCTCAATTCGAGGTAAACAAATTATCGCCACCATTTTCAGCTAAGCGGTCATTTTTAGCGCGTTTATGAATTTATAACTTTGTACATATTTACTTGCACTTTAAATATAATGTCATATTCTTAAAAAAAGTTATAGATGATTTTAAACTTTTGTTCAATCAACAAGGAAATTTGTATACGATTATATTAGTTTTGCAGAGGTGAAAATTTTACACCGTCTGCAAAATAATATTCACAATACTGGCTTAACGTCTTGATTGTCAACGTCTTGTTTTGACAGTTTATTTCAAAACTGTACTTAATTATTTCGTTTTAAATTGTTGGACTGGGATAAAAGAAATCCGAAATAATCTTAAAAAGACGATAGAAATTACGCGTTTGCTTTCTTATCTATAAAAATCGACATCCGCCGACTGTACACGTCCGAAGTGGTCAACGAAATAGCGAAATAGGCCTTTGCCTATTTCGCCTTTGCAGTTCACGAAGAAAGACTTGGGCAGCTTCCAAACCCAGAAGCCACGCCCCTAAAGAACGACTACCATAAATGACATTACGCCTTAAAGCGCGAATAGTAGAGTCGATTCTTCAAGAAGACCAGGGGCACGTCCACCAGGGGCACGTCCACCAGGGGCACTTCCGCCAGGGGCACGTCCGCCAGGGGCACGTCCAGCAGGGGCACGTCCGCCAGGGGCACGTACGCCAGGGGCACGTCCAGCAAGGGCACGTCCGCCAGGGGTACGTCTGCCAGGGGATTGCTGGCGACGATATACAAAGAACGAAGCTGTGCGTTCAAAGGATCAAATGATGCTCAGGACTAACATATACTTATAGAGCAAGAGCCCGTGAACCCCAGAGCTTTTTCATTTTATAAAAGCTACAAGTTTGTAAGCACATGCTCCCAACACAGGTAAAAACGATGTAAATACTGTTATGAAGTTTGGGTTACCCTGGGAGGTAAACGGTACTAAAGATATGTAAAATTACCATTCTACACCCTTAAAATTATAATTACAGAAAATTTATAATTTTACTTACGTTATAGTATAAAAGCTGACTTTTATATGCATATAATACTTGGGTAATAAGTAAATGATGTTTCCTCAGTAGCCAGACAAACATCTTAAGAAATTGTAAATATTAAGAAGAGTTTCGTAATTAGAATGACTTATGCAAATAAACTTTTTGGCGCAGATTTATATAACTGATAATCTATGTAAATTTTAAAAACATCTTAAGAAAAGACATTCGATGCTTCTATATTCTTATATACGATATCTTATATAGAATACAGAATAAATAATCGATATTTACAAAACCGATTAATTTCGATTCCATGTAAAATTTGATTAAAATATTGATTTTATGAATTAAGATAGAAGAGAGAAAAATATTTTTTAATTAATAATTTTTTCCCCTCCATGTCACATCCGTAGACTTAACTCGCCATCTCACTCGCGAGAGGGGTGGTCAAAAAGTTCGTGGAATGAAGGGGTTGGTGGCGGTAGTTTAATTAAAACTGGTAGAGCAACTACTAACTACTGAATTTGAATCTAATCGGGTCATTATGACCTTTGAGTTATCGACCAGTGAACAAGTCGATCGGGAAGAACACAGCCACTATGAAGAAAATTGAATACCGCGAAGACATTAAGTTCCATACCAGGCAAGGAAACTCACGGCAAAAGACTGAAGAAGCAGCAGTGACATATGACATGATCATTTTGGGATGACTAAGGTCAGTGCAAAATGGGTTCCGAGAATCATAACGCTCTCGGCAGTTTTTGGAGCTCTGTGGAGAGAATAAAGAAGAAGTGATAGCCCAGATCGTTAATGGAGATGAAATTTGGGTTCACCGGTGACTTCTTCATAATGCTCCTTTCCATTGCGTATTGGCAGGTTGCAAGTTTGCTAGTTATGTTTTGTGATAAGGTCCCCGTTTGGCTGCCGTACATGAGGACTGGTAAAATGCAGGTGTTAAATAATTTGCTTTTTACGTTCATATTAAGGTTTTTATCTTTCATGATCTCTTTCAAACCCCACTAACTGTAAAAAAAATGTTAACCGGTAGATATTAATCTGACAAGTAGACCTGGGGAATAATTTTGTTTATATCGTAAAAAAACAGCCAAAAAAGCACCTTGACATTTGAGGTCCAACTTCTAAAACTAATGTACAATAGGGGGGGGGGGGGGATGTAAAAAAATTGTATAGCGCTTTTCGTTCAATATAGACTTAGACTAATGCCTCTCTCTATCATTGCTTTTGATAATAACTTACGTTCGACACCTCCAATGAACACTACGCAAACTCAATTTTTGTAATTTTTCTTTTTTATACAAAACGACTTATTAAAATAATAATAATCCTCACAAAATTTCTTGAAAAAAAAATTTAAAGAAACAAAAAAGTTGTGACATTTACATAACGCCAAGTAAATGTACTTTTTTAAAACTCGCGACGTACATCCCGCTTTCTTGTATTGGCGTTGTGTTTGTGGGGTGTTTGGACGGCAACCGTAAGAATAATGCCGCTAAATTACAGTTGGCGGCATGTCAGCGGTTTGCGCGCATCTTTATACATTTTTTGAAATTACTTAATTTATTTTTATTAAGAGATGAGATTATTGAGAGTTTTAAATGTTCTGTATGTTTGGTCGATATCCAAACGACATTACGCCATCCCAACTTTGCGTAGTGTATCTCGGTAGCATTTCATTTCGTAGTGACTTAGCGGAGTATTAAATAATTTCATTTATTTTTTAATTTAAAAGGCCGGCAACGCATTTGTGAGCCCTCGGGTGTTGCAGGTGTTGATGGGCGGCGGTAATCACTTACCATCAGGTGAGCCTCCTGCTCGTTTGCCCCTTTTCTCCATAAAAAAAAAAAAAAAAAAAAAAAAAAATTGTTAGTTATAAGGTTCATAAAGTTCATAAAGTTAATTTACTAACAAATTAACTTTATGATGAATTGAATTAAATTTATATAGTTAAACAATTAATTTACCTAATATTTAATCGATAATAATGTGATACTAGCTGCTTTTTTGAATGATTTCTTATTTTCGTACCAATATACGATATATTGTTATAGTTAATTATCTTCTTTTATATGTGTACAAATTAAGACATTTAGGAAAGGTTTTTTGAATTACTAAAAAAAAAAAAAACAAATACTGTTTAAATGAATTGAAAAAAATGTTAGAGATATAAGTAACCAAAATATTTTATCAATTTATTCGTCTACAGTACCTGTCTTACTATTATAACACTTCATTGAAGTCTATGTTAGCGAATGATTTTAAGAACATCATAAGATTTACCGATTTATCACCCTCCTTTTTTTTGTTGACGTGGGGGAAATGCCTACGCATTCCCGCCTTCGTAGGAGTCAGAGCGGGTTATGCCGGACTCGCACCGACTAAAACCCCCACGATGTTACACCTAGGCGTATCTTGCCAGCGCTGGCCGCCTTAGCAGCCCCCTCACGGGGAGCAACTACCCTCTCCTCCAGGTAAGGCGCGCTGGAACATTCAGCACGCCCTCCTTCTCGGCCCCATTTTCACGGCCAACTCCCCCGAGTTCGCTGAGCGGGGCCGTGGGAGCCAGGAGAGCCAGGAGAGCCAGTGCTAATAAACAGCAAGCCTCCCAGCCCCTAGCGGCGGACCTGGTCTGTGGCCCCGCCGCTCACCACGTTTCGGCCGCGGAGGATAGGGAGAACGGCGCTCCGCAATACCGACACTCCTCTCCCCCCGCGGCCCCACCACAGCTGCATCAGCGGTGCAGCCCCGCCGATCGCGGAGGATAGAGAGCACGGCCAACCCAATACCGACACTCCTCCTCCCCCGCGACTCCTCCTCGGTCACAGAAGACAGGGAGAGTGGCTCCACCTCTCCCACCCTCGACCTCTCCCCTGCACCCTCCAGCACGTATCCAGAGTGGGCTCAATGAGGCCACTCGGAGCGGCCCTCTCGGGTCTTACACCACAGGCCGGCCTAGTGTGGGTTCTCTTAGCTTCGCCGCGGGGGACCAAGCCACGGCTACTAAGCCCCTCCGCTACGCCAAGGCGGGAACCCGGTCTGTGGGGTTAATCACTCCTAGTATAACTACTGGTATCCAAAAACTTTCTCCAGTGACGTTATTTAAGTGCTGAAAATTATGAATCTGACAGAAATTAGTGCACCCCAATGCCCTGTTGGGACTTGGAGACCTTTCTTAAGGTGCTTATGAAACTTTGTTACCGTCGACGACTCCAGAAAATATTGATGTAACAGCAGGAAAAATTCCCTATTCCAAAGTTAGACATTGAAAGGGTATTGATATAATTTCAATGTTGGATGTAAATTCTTTGTTTCTTCTACTGCAACACTCAACTATTCATCGTCATTCAACTCAGATATTTTGAGCGTAATGAAGCAAGAACTCCAAAAAATATAAAAGACAAGATAAGGGACGCCAGCGCGTTAAACACGTAAAAGATTGGATGCCCGAAACAGGAAATGTCTATGGTAATATAGGAAAGGAATACATTTCTAGAAGAACTCAAACCCAGTCAAAGAAACTCGAGTTGGGGTGAAACATTTAGCGAAAAATTACGTTTAGAACTGTTTTCTAATTTTCAGGGTTTGAGGAGCCATGTTAAACAATTGTAAATTATTTCCAAATATGTGTTGCAAAAAAAGAAAATGAAAATTTTCCTTGTTTACAAACATTGCATTGTCATCTTCATATGAAGACAAATTATTTTTATAAAAGTATAAAAAACGGTGTTCATTAAAACTTTAGCATAAGTAAGGATTTTGTTTATACTGATTTATAAAAACGTCACGAATGAAAAAGATTTCAATGATTTTTATTGATGGTAGAGTTCGCATATAATCCATAATCCAGTTACGCATGCCCCTTGGAATCGCACTGTGTCAGAATACGTTCAAGTAAAAAACATAACTCATTATCATTTTCAAAAATGTTCCAAATGTATAGGAATGGCGTGCGGAAAAAAAGTATAACAGTAGAGTGTAAACATTAGGATAATACAAGGACATAGCGCTAATGCATAGATAGGCTTTCATGTTCCTAAAAGGATCATTGTAACCCTCGCTACATTTAAGAACATATCTGAACATTTTATACATATTTTCTAGTAACAGAAGTCGATTACGAAGTTGATAGAAGCGATGAATTAGCAATATTTTTTATTTGTTTAAACAGGCGTACAAACAATACATTAAAAAAAGAACAATTATAATTCTAATGTGATGCACATAAAAATTAAATTTAACATTGTGTATAATCATTTAAACTATAGGTAAACAAATCTAATAAAAGGCTTCATTTGAGGAGAGCAGTAATCTACAAAACTAGCAATAGAATAAAATATTAAAATTAGAACAAAAAGAACATAACTTATTTAATTGTACAAATAGAGAAAAAAGAGGGAAGAAAAAAGAATTTATATACATTCTTCCTTTTTCACCGATTGTTTCTCAAAGTAGGCATTTGTTAGTAGGCATTTGGTAGGTAGTAGTAGGGAAGTTCATAGTTTAGGTGTGAATCATGCTGCCTCAGCCCGTAGATACAAAATATTAAAGTGATTATTATAATTGAGGAAACATTTTAGTCATATTTAGACTATTCTATAGAAATGTTGATTTTATGGAAATATTGATCATTAACATTGAAAATAATATTATAAGTATTGAAAAAACTAATCGTTTTTAAAATATTAATTAAAAAAGGTTAACAATTAAAAAAGGTAAATTAATATTTATTACCTTAGTTTCTAATCATGATGGATCTCTTAATTGTTATAACAATAACTAAATACACATCGTGATTATTATAATTTGATTCGGTTTTTTCATTCCCACCTTCTATTTACCTACTAAAAAAATTATAACATAAAAAAATAAAGTAGAATCGTCGCTACCACACTAAAATTTTACGCATACAAGTTATCCAACATAATATAAACTCACGCTTATACACACTGGGGTACACACAAATTATTTTGGGTACAACATTTGGACTAATATTGTAAAAAAAAAAAAAAAAAATTTGAAAAAAAAAATAAAATAGCTATTTTATTTGCAATCTTGTATGAAACAAAACTCGTAACTACTTATGATGATCAACTTTTTCTACGCTATGTATTGGTTAGAGGCATACAACAAGATGGTTAATTTTATTGTCTTCCCGATTATTAAGCGCTAACTTTTCTAAATTAGGAAATAAGAGGTTATTAGTCAATGTATGTTGGCTTATATAGGGTTAAATACTCCCGTTATAGATATATTATGTAATTATTATTGTATTCTGGTATGGATTTAATTATAATTTTTCTATTCCACAATGTTCCGTAATACTACGCTAACTATGTGTTGCCGTAGTGTAACCGAATTTTAAATAACAGAAAAGAAAATAAAGAAATTTCTAAATCTAATAATACAGTTTTAAGGAGCAACAAATTAATTATTCATCCTGAAAACATCATTAAAATCGCTTAATTATCAACTTTTTTTAGGAGCGTATCCTGAAAACGTACCATTTTTGAGTTGGCGTAGTCTATGTTGTTGGACTTTATTAAGACTTAATCATGATCTTCCTATCTTTTGACTTCATAACTCCTTGATTAATCATTTATCTAGAACTAAATTCTTTTAGTTTTATTGTATTGCCCTTCACTTACATGGATTGAGTCTAATAGCCTTTTTCAAAAACCTATCTATCTGAAGATTTGGTTACTGGACATAGAATTTTGACGTAAGTATTATTGTGATTATGTTAAATACCTATCTCTATTAACCAAATCTATAGATAGATAGAATGTGGAAACGACCCGTAAATCGCACGTTAGATAACCGCTCAATAATACATTCCTAAGAAATCTTTAAATTGCAGAACTCATTAGAGAAATGGGAAGATGACATCGCGGACATGTCCGAAAATCAAACCAACCTTTTGAATAACTATTTGGAACTTAGAGAAATGGCGTATGTGTTAAATCAAATAGGACCTTTGCTCGGTGACGCTGAAATCACACCTGATTCTCTGTTGTCAAGGTATTCGTAGTTTCAAATAAACACATCAGTGCTTCTTTCTGTCTTCATTTTCGCACAGTTAGCAAAAAATTAAAGAAATGAGCCAGTAAAATAATAAAAAATGGATTTTTCGGTATGTTTCTATATTGCCTAAAATTATAGAAAAGCTGGTGGAGACCCAATTACAACACGTGGACGTCTCTTTGTTATATCTGGTGTCGTACATCGCAATAGATGTTTTCCATTTGAGATGATGCTTTGGAGGGTATCCCGTGGTAATATCTACTATAAACAAGCGTCTGAAGATGCCATTCTCCTGGACCCCGCAACAGTGAGTATATATTATTTTCAATTTAATCATAAATAATTAATTGGTACTTCACTATTTAATTATTATAAAGTACAAAACATTTCGTAAGGATCCAAAATCTGTCCTCTTCAGTTTTAAACCCTATTTGAAACCCTATATTTCAATGTGCAATAAATATTGACGAAATTATGTAAAGATAATATAATGCCTCGTTAGCGAAATAATAAATACGAAGAAATATAATACTGTCAATTCCCCCATATTTTCCTAATTACGTTGTTATTTCAAATACCTCAATATTCAATATTTCAGTAAGCTGCTATAACAAGCACTTCGCAATTCTGTGAAGAGCTTTTCAACAAAGTTTCGATTCATTTAGTTGTTATCGATTGAACAATTATGATAATTCCGCTTCAACTTTATAATTTAAGGAATTAATTCAGATTTATGTGCATAGGGGAAGGATATAAGAAAAGTAGCATTCTTAGCAATTTGCCAAGGTGAACAGCTCAATAGTAGAATGGACAAGGTGTGTGCTGGGTTTAGAGTCAACCTTTACCCTTGTCCCGAGACGAAGGACGAGAGAATGGACATGACAATTAAACTCAACACCCGGATTTGCGACTTGGAACAGGTTTGCCCGGATTAACAGAATTTTCTTTTATTCATGACGCTAATTTTGGTGATAGAATTGTACAGATATATGCACGATAAACGTGGGGTGGAGAGTTATCGAGGTGTGTACGGTTTAATATTTCAGTACTTGAGTTTTATTATTTTCCCAAGTTGCTTTAATAATGCTATTATGGATAAACCACGTTCATCAATATATCTTTATAAAAAAGTTCGTTGTGTATCACTATAATACATACGTCTACGTACCCGATCATTATGATATAATTTTTTTCAATGCAATAATGCTGTCGCTATTCATGTCCATTGGCAACCCAGACAACATCACATGTATCGGCTAATATTTAAATATTAAAGTATTTAATCTCAAAGTACATCAAAATAATGTAATACGTCAAAAGCTTATCATACTCTATTGGGACGATAGAACAGGTGAGATTCTCATTTTGGCAACGAAGTGAGGAATGGGGCTGTTTCATGCCAAGGTGTAATTGAATTAGAAGTGGTCAAATTTATTATGCATTTGCTGCATCTTATAAAACGTGTAAACTGAAAAATTTTTCAATTAATTTGACAATTTCAAAATAAACTTAGTACGTTACTCTTGAAATTAAAATTTATATCCTCTTTTTATAATATTAATAGATTGGTTCTGAAGCCAAACTGTTCGCGAATGGGGAGCCCTCTAGAGTCCATGAAGGATTGTAAACGAGCTAATAATAAACATTCAAAGATCTTCCCAAAAGTTTTGAGAAGACTTATTGGCGGGTTTCGAGGGTTTGAGCCTCAAACCCTCAAACTTTGAGGAACTCTATTACTTCAGTTTTCTTCCATTCGGACGGGATTCTGTCATTGCTGCGTTGTAGATTATTACTAGTATCTGAAGGATGCTAGTAGGAAGGAGTTTGGTCACCTTATGGGTGATTGCGTCCGCGCCAGGCGCTTTGCGTGGGCGTAGGTTTTTAATTAATTGTTTTACTTCGGAGCACGTGACCGGGCGAACGGGATTGCGGAGTGGCTCTATAGCTTTACTTCACCTCTCCGTTCACCTTCCGGAAGTGTTCGGGGTTGACGGGAAGCAGACTAGGGAAACATTGAGACTTGAGCCTGTCAGCCAGACATTCGGCCTTTTCTTCGTCCAGCATTGCTGGCGTACCTAAGGGGCGAATCAGTAGCATCGTTGTTATGTTGTTACCCTTGAGAGATTTAGGAAGCTTCCAAAAAGCTTGGTGTGATGGTCTAATAGAAGTTAAGGTGGAGTCCCACTGTTCGTTTCGCGAGGCTGCTATGCGTGTTTTCACCTTACGCTGTAATTTACGTAGCAGCCTGCGTTTTGAGTCGGTGGGATATCAAGTCACGCAAATCGTCTGGCAGGGCCTAGCGATGATTATCCATCGCTGAAACCTGTCTCGTGCATTACTCGATGAAGGTGTGGACATTGCTTGTGAGAGCCCGAATTGCGGTCTCTGTGTCCTGCTTGTTGCTAATGTTTGCCGAGATTGACTCTAGTTGTGATGGATTAGTTTCTTTAAGTTTTGTCCTAACGTTGTGCCAGTTAATAACTGTTTTAGTTTCGGGAGTGGCTATAGCAGAGAGCCCTAGCCGAAATATGACGGGTCAATGATCAGAGTGAAACTTATGGATCGCTTCAATGTTGCGTATAGTGAGGTTGATATTTCCGACTATCGCAACATCAATCACATCCGATGTGTGAACTTCCATATAAGCGTAGTGCGTGTGTACAGCAGGTGCTACGATGTCGAAATCGAGTATGTCTGATAGCGAGTCGAGTGCTACGCCCCGACTGTTGATACGAGTGGAATTCCATCGGGTGTGCTTGCTGTTGAAATCGCCAGCTAGAATTGTGGCTCCTCCTAAGGACAGGAGGGCCTCAAAGTCAGAGCGCTGCGTCACGCTGTTCTTTAACCCTTTAATCGATCGTGGTTTAACTCTGCCGTTATTACGCGTAGCAGAGGGACTGGTATACGCGGTGTTGCTACTATTAGGTGTAGTATCCATCGAGAGGCCTAAGAGGAGAGCGCACGCACGATGTGCTGATACCTACACACGAGGACGATCCTAGTATGTAGGTCTCCTTTTGGGTACTGTACCGCGAAGGCCATAAATTCCGTCACATTGACGGTATGGGTAAGGCTTGTGAGTGACTCGAAGGGGTTACCTCCGGCCGCAAAGCTGGGAGGGATAAGTGTCAGTTGCGCGGCGGGCTGTGGAAACATTGCTTCTGCAATGCGCGGGTTTGATTTGGCCCACGCGGGGATCACATCCTGATGTCCTGAGTAGTGACAGTCGCGACGAATTTGACCCTATTTGACAAGGCGGACGCGATCATGGACCACTTTTTGGTGTCCTAAATAAATACTGGAGGCGGGAGTTTGTTCTGCGGCGCGCGTGGAGCGGCAAGAGCCGCGGGGCCCGCGGGTTTAGTGGCTGGAGGAGTCGATATCGGGATCGTGGAGGGCGATGGGACGGGGTTGGGCTCGGAGGGCCCTGCCTCGGGCGTTTCGGACGACCTAGGTGCTTTAACCGGTACGGAGGATGGAGCCGTGGAGGACGGCTGGGAATATCGGTTCTTCCTCTTCTATTTATTCACCACTTCGGTAAATAAGCCGCCTTCATTAGAGGCGTCGGCATCGGTGGAGGAGAGAGGCGTGTCTCGTTCCATCTCCTCTTGGGAGGAGGAACTTGGTACTACGCTATTAATTGTTCGCGGTTGATCAATCAACTAGATGTTTGTTTGAAACAAACCCCTGCTAAGCGCGTTGGCCGCCGAAGTAAAAACTGCACCTCGCAACTCGACTTGCGAGCGGTGGTGTCCACTCATAACGAAAGTTACAAGTGAACGCGGCGCGCGAATCAGCTTGTTGCCGCTGATATGCTCGACTGAGGCGGGCAAGGGTGAGGGTAGCAGGTACAGCGAGCGCGTGCCTAGGTGTACGTTCGACTCGACAGCTGCGAGCGCGTGCCTAGGCATGCGTTCGACTCGATAGCTGCGAGCGGAGTACTTAGAGTATTTCGCTCAATACTATAAATAATTCCAGATCACATTCCAGTCTTACGTAAATTGGGTAAACAGTGCACCGTTGACGTTTTACGAACAAAACCATTATGGATTGGCATCATCCAAATTATTTTATTATAATAACACATCAATCTCCGTGTTTGTTTGTTGACACGTACTAAACACCTGCAAAAAAACCGCTATCTCGGATCTTATGATATCATGATAAAATTTCTATATTACTTTACACACAAAAATATAATTGTTTTATATTGTCAGTCATAAAAGTATCAGCTTATACATGTCCTACTGCTGGGCAAAGGCCTCCTCTGTAGAGGGTATCAGGGCAAAGTCCATCACGCGGCCCCATTGCGGATTGGTGGACTTCACATATCTTCGAAATATATTTTATTTCATTATTATTTCGGAAATATGCAGGTTCCTCACGATGTTTTACTTCACCGCTGAGCACGTGATAATTCAGCGCCTGAAATTAACAATTTCATTGGTACGATCATTGGCCGGCACCGGGTATCGAACTCAGGTTGCTTGAGTATATTGAATTTGAGGCAAGAGTGAATAGGTTTCTACTGAGTTAGCGCGCTTACCATCAACGGCTGCATCGCCACTTACCATCAGGTGGAATGGCAGTCAAGTGCTAGCCAGTTTTTGAATAAAAAAAAATAAAAAAGAAAGAATTACAGGCGAGCGCCCGGACACTGAGCTATCACGGCTCTAATAATTTAATAATAATTCATAATTTATAATTTATGGTTTGTATTTAAATATACACATAAAAAAGGATCTCTGAGTTCTATTCGCTTATAATGCAGGTGTTGAAAAAGACTAAATATCATCGTTGTAAAGCGCTCCGAACAGTAGGCAAAGAATGGAGTACATGGATGATGCAAGTGCGAAAGTCTAAGGCAATTTATCACACGATGAATTTATTTTCACTGGATATAACTAAAAACTGCCTAATTGGGAAATGTTGGGTGCCGAATTCAGATTTACTGCAAGTTAATGAAGTCTTGGAGCATTGCTCGGTAACTAAATTTTTAATGAAAAGAATTAATTATATATTTTTTTTAAATATTAAGATTACTGATTCGCACGGGCAGACCTTAGTAGAGAGTAGTACGTAAAAATTTAAAACTTTCCACGTAACCCCAGTTATACTTAACAAATGAAAACAATATAAATTTTACAATTGTTTCAATTATTTTTTTAGGCTAAAGTCGGAACAAACGTACCGTCTTTCATTTCTAAGACGGAAACTGACGATGTCCCTCCAACTTATCACCGGACTAACAAATTTACAAATGGATTTCAAGCGCTGATTAATGCTTATGGAGATTCGACGTATCGAGAATTGAATCCAGGTTAATTTACTTATGAAGTCTTTTGTGGGATATTGTAATTGAAACAAATAGAATTTGTTTTAAAAGCTAACAGGTTTACGAGCAATTTAATATTTTGTTGAAAGATGGTTTAAAGCTTTCGGCGCCGTGGAATTCGAACCTTTTCTTTTTTCTTGGGAAAATCTTTCACGAATCCCGTTTCCACGGAGGTGAGTTTGAGGGAGACCCAGTCAAAAACGGATATCCATTAAAAACTCACGTTGTGCCTGTCTCTGTCGCATCGGCCGGGGACACGGGAAAACGTATACGCAATCTTCCGCGGCCCTGGCACGACTATGGCCTAAGGCCTCTTCTCAGGTGTTATGATACCCAGTCCGGGTAAATGGTGCTGTGCCGATGCAATTAGCATAGCACCCCTAACGAACCCCATATTCAAAAGCCGACGCAGGGGAGAAGGTTGTGCGTGTAGGCCAACCACCTGCGTCCTGGTCTCCGTAAGTGGATATCCAGGGTGGCCTAGATGCTCTAGGTAACTGACCTAAAATCCCGATTACCTCACGGCTCAAATGTTTGGTTCTCAAAGTCCTAAAAATCTATTAAAGCCCCATTTCAATCACCTTAGTGCATACTAGC